AGGAGCCCCCTGAAAACCCCTGCGACTGTCTCAGGGAGCCGCCCCCCGAAACCCCAGACATCAACCAGCTGCCGCCGTCCATCCTGCTCAAGGTGGGTCTGGGCGAGAGGCGCAGGGATGCTCGCTTTCCCCCAACCCCGGCCCCCCGCCTCTGAGGTTTTCTCTCTCCTCCCCCTAAGCGCGGAGGAGGGGGGTTCCCTGACAGCCGGGGGACGTCCGGAGGGGAGACTGAGACGCCTGTGGGGCCTGTGCTTTAGGCCTGTTTTTTTGAAGTAAAAAAACTTGGAGTCTACTGAATGCTTTTCAGTAGCTGGAGTCGGTTAGCCACCATTCAGGGTTACTTTATTATTACAGTCCCAACCCAGTGCTTCCGTGAAAACAACAACATTAAAAAAAAATCAATTGAGCAATCTACACTTAGTGGGTAAAGGTTTTGCAGATTCGTATTTGAAAGTCTTAAGGCATTACTTTCAGGTTTGATGGCTGCTAGTTAAGGTCAATAACAGTTAACTTTTATTGTGCGTTTACCATGATCAGGCACTGTGCCAAGCTTTATATATATAGTAACTCATTTATTCCCACAGTTAACGCTGCGGATAAATACTTGTTAACATCCTTATTTTATGCAGGAAATGCCAGGGTTTACAGTAGTGAGTCTGGAGAAGGTGTTTCTTTGCTCCTATGGAGCTAACATTCTAGTGGGGCTTCGAGAGGTTGAATGACTTGTGCAAGGTCAACACGCATAAAGTAAAGGGCAGATCTGGGTCTTGAACTAGGGAGTTTAGGCCAGCCTGACTTCAAAACCTCTTTGTTTATGCTATGTTGTATTGCCTTCCTACTTTTAACCCTAAATGCATACAGATTACTAGAAGGTAAAGATAGAAGTATTTTCATTGGGATGGGTGAGTAGAGGTAGGTGTCCTGTGTGAACTTTGTCATTTTCATTTTCTGAGGGACATTTTGCAGTTTTGTCAATGCTAGTGACAAACTTTAGTTATGTAATAGAGTTTGTATTAAGTTATTATTAACTTAAGTTCTTTTTCCTTTTTTTCCTCTCTTCTTTCCCACTCCTCCTTCTCTGGAGCTTATTAAATATAAATCTTTTGCGTTGTGGATGATACTTAAGACTAACCATAAATAACCTTGATAAGAATTTGGCTATTTTTACTGCTACTGGAGTAACTGTCATCAATTACAGTTGTTACCCTCACCGATATACTTGCTTTGATTAGACTTTTTGCATACTTATAATCTTGTGGCTTTAGATCTGTTTTATTGGGTTATTAATGTTCTTGTGACTAATACAGCATAACAGCGGTAAAGCTTACATTTCCTTGTGTCAAAATGTAGTGATTTAACTCTCATGGAGGTGTATTTGTTGGAGGAGTAATTGCCTACTCTGTGTGCAGTGGTGCATCTTAGAGCAGAGGGAACTTTCTTGAGTCCTTTAAGTCTCTGAATGACATGGATAAATAAAATATTAACAAATACTTGGTATAGAAATTTGATTGTTGCCTTCTTATTTGACAAATAAGACTTTAAAAAAATAAACCAAAACAAAAACAAGGTGCTTTCTACTTAAACCATTATTTCATGAGGTAAAGAACATTTTAATAATCCCTCCCCAAGGAAGAAGGACATGATTTCACAATAAAGAGAAACCCTATAGAATAAATTTATTCTACATTGTTCTTTTTCATTTTTGTTGTGGATTGTTGAAAACGTGGTCTGAGGGACGTTTGGAAATTACCCATGGACTTGCCCTGCTGTTTGTATTTAGACATGTTACGTAGATTTTCATTCCTTGTATTTGAAACGTGAATAAAGATTCTCTGTCTGAGCCTCATGGTCTTCGTGGTATTCAGCACGAAGTGAGTTGTACTGTCTGGGATAAAAGTGTAGTGCCTGGCATATAGTAGCACTCAGTAAATGTGTATGAACAAGTGAATGATCAGGTGTTCAGAGTCTGGGTTGAGACTCAGAGCGAATATACCACACCACTAAGACAAGATTTTAAGGAATGTCCATATTCTGACTTAAGTTACTGTTTGAACCAAAATAGAACCATGTGATAGTGAAAGGGGTTTAGCTTTGCTTCTGATAAGAACTGGAGGCATTTCGGTTTGGGGAAGAGAAGATTTAGAGAAGCTATGACATTTTTTCTTCTTGTATCAGAAGGGTTGTTGCATAGAGGCACAAATCATTGCCCTCATTGGAAAACATTCTTAGGAAGTATGCCCTTATTTCTTGATAATGGGACAATAGCTTTCATAATTGTTTTTGCTTCATCTTTTCTATTAGCAAAGTACTAAAGTTGTAGAAGAAGGGGGGGTGGGGGATAAGAGAAGAATTTGGGAGAGAAATGTGACTTAAAGGATATTTTTGGGGACACCTACCATAATTGCCCAATTTTTTTCAGGTATGGCAAAAGAAAAGAAAAACTAAACTTTATGTTGCTTTATAGGCCGATTTTTGGCTCAATATTAAGGCTGTTTTTCTTTTACTTTTATGTAAATAAAAATACTACTTGATTTAAAACACTACAAAAAATGCAGGTAATGCCTAAGTTTGCCTTGCTTCACCCCACATTCCCATCTAGTTTCCTCTCCAGAGGTAACTAACCACTATTACCACCTTAGATAGTTTTTTTCCAGACCTGCACTGTCTACTAGCCACATTTAGTTAAATAAAATTTAAAATTCAGTCATATAGATTTTAGAAATCTATAATCACATGTGGTTATTTACTACTGTACTAGACGGCAGATTTAGAACATTTCCATCATTGAAGAAATCAGTATGTAATCCTTCACTGCTCTTTTCATAGTGGCACCAAAATATACAAGTGTTACATTTTTTAAATTGTGTGTGTGTGTGTGTGTGTGTGTGTGTGTGTGTGTGTGTGTGTGTTTGTTTGAGTTGGAGTCTCACTCTGTCGCACAGGCTGGAGTACATTGCTGGGCTCCGGCAATCCTTCCGTCTCAGCCTTCCAAGTAGCTAGAACTGCATTCTACCACACCCGGCTAATTGATTTTATTTTTTATTTTAGAGATGAAGTCTCACCAAGTTGCCCCAGCTGGTCTTGAACCCATGGGCTCAGGCAATTCATTCGCCTCGGCTGCCCAAAGTGCTGGGATTACAGGCTGAGCCATCGAGCCGGCCATGTTTTACAATTTTTTAAAAACAATATTGCTTGGAGGTCTGAGTGTATAGTTTCATTCTTTTTAAACTGCCACATAGTATTCTATAGTATTATAACATATATATTGTAGTTCTCTAGTAATGGATATTTCCAATTTTTTATTGCTACAAATAATGCTTATAGATTTTTTTCTATATACATGTCATATTTTTCTAGGGTAGATTTCAAGAAATGGAATTTCAGGGTTGAAGAGTGTGTATGTTTGGATTTTCAGAAAGTCCTTTCTAATAATTCGAGATCTTTAAAAGTGGAATGAGTTCTTTCTTGAAATAGTGAGCCTTACTGGAAACTATAATTATGAAACTTCAAGAAAGAAAGAGACTTTGGAGGTCATTTAGTCACTTCCCACTTTTTAAGCATGAGGAACCAGGCCTAGAGAAGTGAAATGACTTAGTCCCAGACATTTTAATGAATGGCAGCTTAGTGTTTCCAGGTATAGAGAGTTTTTCGATATATCATTGTTTAAGAGAGCCTGAATAGTCTCTTAGGAATTTTATGAAAGGCATTCTTGAATTGAGGGGGGACGGTTATATCAGACGACTTCTAAACCACTGTGAAATCAGAGGCTAATTTTATAATTGAGTCTGTAGGGTTGAGTTGTGGTCTTTGAATATAAGAAATCTAAGAAGCAGAGAATGGATCTTCAAAGGTCAACTCTGGGTGTAACATTTTCTTAAGTACATAAGCTGTTATAGTTGGTGTTTGGTAATGGATATTTGATCAAATAAGCTACCTTTAGCCTTTGCTGTTGCTATTGTAACTTTAAGCAACTCCGCCTACTGATATCACAGTTGGATTTTTATATAGTGGACCATTATGCAGCAGTTTTACCAAATGATAGCAATGGAATATAATTTTTAAGTAGTTGCTATTTGAGTAGTTGGGTATTTTGAGATCTGTATTTAAATATTAGAGACTCTGTATGCTGTATTTTCTTATATCTTGTTCTTTTGTCATCACGTTGATTTCTTTCTGGAGGAAACTAGGCAGGAGATCTCAAATCTATCACTGCCATTGGAAAACCACCCTGCAGTGCACTCACCCCTGATAATGTGTTGGTAATACTAAATCTTTATAGGTTTGTTACATATAGGTTGTAAGGCAGACTTTTATGAGAAAGATGTGCTTTGGGGAAAAACTTGTGTACCTGATCTATTTTTTCCATATATGAAAACAGGAATGAAAGCACATGGAAATAGGAGTAAAAAAAGAAAAGTAATACTCTTTTTAAAGTTTTGAATGTAGATAACTAGTGGGTAGGAGGAATTAAGTTACATATGCCGTTTCATGAATGTTTGATTTAAGGCTCCAGTTACCAGATTACCTTTGGAAGGAATGTCTTTGGAGTTCTAGGGATGGTTTCTGTCACTGCTGAAATGGAGTGTCCTTAGGAAGTCAGACTCACTATTTTTCTTTGCTGAAGGATTCAATATAGTCGTAATTAACTTAATTAGGTTACCAAAGACTGAGATTTTTTTCTTCTCTTTTAAGAAGTCTATAAATTTTGGTGCCTTGTAATGAGTGGCTGTAAGGGGGGATCCTTGAGCTTTTCTTTGTCAATGTAGGACACTAGGTATTATAAATGGTAGGAAGAGGAAGGGAAGAGAAGTGAAGGCAAACATTGAAGGATTTAGCTTTAGTGTAATAGATTCTTTAAAAAGATTGTTTAACTTTGATTAAATATCCTATTTTATGCTTATCACCCACTTCTTAAATTTGTTTTCACTTGGATAAACAAAACTTATCTAGATTCATCTGGGTTTAGTCAGTGATCTGTGGTTTATAACAGTCATGTCTTTTTTTTTTTGAGTCAGGATCTCTGTTGCTCATGCTGGAGTACAGTGATATGGTCATGGTTCACTGCAACCTTGACTTTCTTGGTTCAGGTGAT